TCTAGTTCTCAGCATAGGGTCTGTGGATGCCTGGGGGTCCTCAAGACCCTTTCAAGGGGGCCATAAAGTCAGAACTATTTTCACAATACTAAGACATTATTTGTCCTTTTCACTCTCATTCTCTCACATGTACACAGTGGTATATGTGATATACAGAGGTCATATGATATGCAATACAGCAAGACTGAATGCAAAAGCAGACAAGAATCCAGCTGTTTTCAATTAAGACAGATATGAAGATTTGCAAAATGTAACACAATCACTCCTTTCTCCAATTTTTAGAAAGTAATTTTCACCAAAAATGTTATATTGTGTTAATATAAAATCAATTTAATATTGTAGATTTAAAATAATTAAATATTTTAAATGTCTTAATTTCTAATGTAACTGACAATAGATATAACCCATATAAATGAAGGATTTGGGGTCCTTCATAATCTAACAAACCCTGATCTAGACTGTGAGAATTTCTATGGACCAACCAATTTGGTTTTCTCAAAAAATAAATTTAAAATAAAAGACAAAGGGAATCCATAGATGTAATGGGACTTAAATATAATAATCAAATGCAAAGAATGAACTTTACTTGGATCCTGACTCAAACAAATGGCTAAGAAAGAAAATAATGAGACAATCAAGGAAACAAATACTGGCTGGATGTTTAATGATACTTTAAGAAATTAACTTTGTTTAGTTGTTAACAGAGAGTGTAACTATTCATGCTGGGTGATGACTACATGGGGGTTTATAAAAGTCATGCTTTGAGAACACCAAATACTTTAAAGTATAAGAACTTTCAAAATATAAACACAGTGTAACTTATTGTTCAATTCTAACTCTAAAAGCAAATAACAGTACCAGACAATATAAAAGCCATTAATTGAATTGTCAATTCAAAATAGAATCCCTTTGTTTTAAGGATTTATATTGCTGTTTTTAAAGCAAATGAAAAATTTCTTCGCCTTTTCTATTTTTCTCAAACAAAATAAATTATAGCAACTGAGAACATACAGTACTTATTTTAGCACCTCTTACAAACCTAAAGCCACATTCATTAATATAAATGATAATTCAACGTATTTAAGAACCTTCATCAAAGGCAATACCCTGGGGTTACGGAGACTAAAAACTGAAAAAGGAAAAACCATCATCTAAAGGTAATTCGAGGAAAAACAGTAACAAGCATTCAAGGGCTTGGCTATTTGCATCCCAAGCTATTTTCACCTCAGCATCCTCACATATTCTCAATGGCTGAAATAGCTGGTTCAGAGTTATTTTAGTAAAGGTCACCTTACAGAGATGATTTTCCTCACCATCTTAACTACTTAAGATTTCCCTTCTTTATGGACTTAATGCAAAATTACTTGTTTATTTTTTGCCTTCTCCATGAGATTATAAATTCTATGAAAGCAGGGATGAACTTTTCTTTTTATTCATTTTTTATTGAAATATGTGACATATAAAAACTTTGTTTTCTTTACCACCGCAATATCCAGTGCCTGACACACAAAAAATACAGAGCGAATTAATATATTCTAAAGAGCTGAGGCAATTACGATATTAAGACTCAAATATGAATAACATACAAAAGGCTGGTGTAAAGGATTCAATCAACTAGACTAGTGAAGGCAGTAACTAATCAACTGCAAAGAACTTCCTCCTATCTAGTTTCTTCAACTCTTGCAGAGATCTTTTGTTGTTCTGTTTGTGTGTAGAAAAGGGCTCAAATGTCAGCTCATTTTGTAAATTCTAATATGTTCATGGTCAATATTTCTACAGCAATGACTGTTATATAATTTAATTAGTGATATATATTAAAAGTTTTCAAATTTAGCTGAGTAGTGAGTTGCTTAGAGTTTAAAACAATCATCTTCAAAAGATACTACTAAGAAAGTGAAAAGACAATGCACTGAATGGGAGAAAATATTTGCAAGTCATGAATCTGATATGGGACTTGTATCTAGAATACATAAAGAACACTTACAACTCAATAATAAAAAAGACAAATAACCCAATTTAAAAATGGTCAAGGTTCTGAATAGACATTTCTCCAAAAACGACATACAAATGCCCAATAAGCACATGAAAATATGCTCACCATCATTAGTCATCAGGGAAATGCAAATCAAAACCACAATGAGATACCACTTTATACTCAATAGGGTGGCCATAATCCAAAAGACAGATAATAACAGGTGTTGGTAGAGATGTGGAGAAATTAGACCCTCATGTACTGCTATTAGGAATGTCTAATGATGTAGTCACTGTGGAAAACAGCTGGCAGTTCCTCAAAAGGTTATACACAAAGTTCCTATACGACCTAGCAATTTTATTCCTAGGTATCTACCCAAGAAAAATGAAAACACGTTCATATAAAAACTTGTACAAAAATATTCATAGCAGTATTATTCATAATAGCGAAAAGTGGAAACAATCCAGTCTACCAACTGATGAAAGGAAAAACTCATACAACAGATTATTATTTGGCCCTAAAAAGGAATGATGTACTGATGATACATGCTACAACATGGATAGGCCTGGAAACCATTATGCCAACCAAAGGAAGCCAGTCACAAAAAAAATCACACAGCATATGATTCCATTTAATGAAATGCTAAGCACAGGAAAATCTATAGAAACAAAGTAAATTAGTGGTTGCCTAGGCCTGGAGAGGGTGTGATGAGGCTAAAAGACATCGAGTTTCTTTTTGGGTGACAAAGGTTTCTAAAACTGATAGTGGTGATGGTTTTACAACTATATGATATACTGAAAACCACTGATCTGTATATTTTAAATGGGTGAATATAGTACGTTAATTATATCTCAATAAAGCCGTTAGGGAACAACAAAATAGTCACTTGCTTTTTGGTTACACTCTATTGCATTTATCATCGAAATTATAGCTACTTGGTGTTCCTGAAGGCCTTGGGGTATATCTCTCTAAACAGAAATTCTCTTTCTTTAAGGGAGACAAAGATAAAGCAGGTAGATAGAGAGGGAAAATCTTCATAACTAAATGATTACCATGTCTGACATGGTAATCAGT